GCACCTCCCCAAACCCCACCCCCTAGCCCCAAATATAATCCACTCTACAACCCTCATTGCATACTCCTACGATAAAAATAATGCCCTAAAATATAATACTTTTAGACTCAACTTTTAATGCATGTTAACGATTATGTTTTAAGGGCTATAATATTTTTTTGAAAAGTAAACATGAAAAACAATATTCTGTCAATGAAATGCATAACAAATCACATGGTCATAGTAAGGCATCAGCAGTCATACTTCTCAAAGAAGGGTCTCTTAAAAAAAAAAGAAGGGTCTCTTATGTCTTTGGAGACGAGAGTTGGCGTTGGTTCTGGAAAACAAGGCAATATGGAGTTAAGAAACATTGGAATTCCTCTATCTTTTCAAGTGAGTCCATTGACACTGTATGTGAACAAGAGAGGAAAATCACTCTTTCATATTAAGAGGTGTCCATTCCAGTAAAGCACAGTTAAAACTCTTGGGTGCTTCCAGGCACAGGATGATTGAGTCAAGACTTCAGGACGTCGCAGGGCCAAATTCTTTACTTTCACAAATCCTTGAGGAGAAGTCAGTGTGGACTATTGAAATACGACATTTTATGAAAGTCATGTTAGACTTAACTAATATTTATCTTCAGATACTCCTTTCCTTATCAAAAGTCAGGCAGCACTTGCAATGTCTGTTTTGGAAACAAAACAAAAAAAAGTCAATTCTGACTGGCAGCAAGCCCATTATTGAAAAGTCGAACTGCTCCTCCATAAATGTGTGATGTGTCAGAACCAGATCCCAGAGCTTTCTTCTGAGATGCTCTGAAAGGGCTCACATAGTCAACTCTGGTTACAGTCAAGCACTGAACCGTGTGCACCTCCCACGAGTCATTCTCACCATCCCCAATTACAGTGCAGATTCCAGTTATATAATTAATCAGTGGGATAGTACGACAAACGTTTAATTTCATTAACAAGTGTGTCTATCTGAGCATTCCCGTTTTATGAGAGGTAACCATGAAGTAATGAAATCAGGTTTAAAGTCAACATATAAATACACTAAAGACCATGACCTTTGGAAACTAGCATCAGGACGATGTGCTTGATGTGTGGCTCACACAGTCACACACAGCTCTCCTTCCAGACTTGCTATGGAAGAAAATCAACTATACTGCTCCACTCACTCTGGGAATTGCATCTTTGACTGCTATCTATTTCCTAATTTCTTATCTATTTCATGCCTAAGAAATTATTTCACCTTGAGGTTTTTGTTTACTTGTGGTATTTTCATTTCATTTTCATTATTCCTTTATTCCATCAAGGAAGAGATGAAGAAAATAATGACCTCCTTGGTTGTTCCAAACTAAGTTGAATCCAATACAAGGAGCTGACTGGGATTGATGAGGAATCTAAAATCAAATATCAGGAAGGAAAGAAAGAAAAGGGACAGGAGAGAAGCCTGGCCCTCTGTTGTATTGATCTCAGTGTCATTGCCACACCTGCTAGCCTATCTGAGCCATCACAGGCATGCCTTCCACACAGACTTTCCTTGAGGGCTCCTAAGAAGGTTCTACCTAGGCCAACTCATTCCCAGTTCTTGCTCCCTTGGAATTTGTAAGACAACCAGCGGCCACAGTAGCAATGCTTTGCCTCTCTAAACCGCTGTCTTCCTGGACCGCCACCCATTTTCAAGAGACATAGTCAATCACTTGGAGGTCCCAGTCCTTTTCCTCACCTCATCAAGTGTCCAACTCCCATTACTGCCCTTCTCTGAAAAGATCTGACTTACTGGATAAATTACTGCAACCAACATCTAAGCTGGCTTTATTTACTACAACCCACCGTTACCCATCAATTCTATCGAATAGTAACCCTCTAGGACAGAGCCGAACCATCACACAGGGTTTCCATTGGTGTAATCTCTATGGGAGCAGACTACTAGATCTTTCTCCCTCGGGCCATCTGGTGGGTTCAAATCCTTTACCTTTTGGTTAAACCTAGCACTTTAGTCATGG